CCACATGTATATCTAGCTAGAGCTTTCCCAAACAGGAATCTGGATCCCCAAACTTTGGCCGGGCTCCACAGATGAGAAAGCAAAATAAAATCAAGAACTCTAACCCCAGAGAATAATATCAGCTGACATTTTTTTTTTTTTTTGGTGAGGCAATTGGAGTTAAGTGACTTGCCCAGGGTCGCACAACTAGTGTCAAGTGTCTGGTCTGAGGCCAGATTTGAACTCAGGTCCTCCTGACTCCAGGCCAGGTACTCTATCCACTGCACCACCTAGCTGCCCTTTCAGCTAACATTCATATAGGGCTTTATGGCTCCTACATCCAGGATTTAATTTAAACCTTAGAATAGTTCCATGAGGCAGGTAATACAAGAATTTATTAACCCCATTTCAGGATCTGAGAGGGCGAGTGATTTGCCCAAAGTCACCCAGCTAATAAATGCCTGAGGCTGGATTTGAACTCAGGCCTTCCTGACTCCTGCAATCACAATGTCCCTGGGCACCCCCAAAGGACACACTTGGATCCCTTCTCTGTGGAGTTAAGCTGGAGGACAGTGGAAAAAACAATGGAGTCAGAGGACCTAGGTTCGAAACCCAGCTCTGCCAAACCACCCCCAAGCTCAAGGGGCTTGGCAAGCAGACTCCTGGAATAGCTGAACAGTTGAATAAGGAAAATTGCCAGCTTGATTTGGTCTCACAATCCTGAACGTACTTGGCAAAATCGTCCACTAGGCTGAAGCCTATCACCAGGCATCCCAAGAGCCTGGAATTTAGAGTCACGGGACAGAAAGTTGAAGCCTGTCTTGGCCACTTAGCACCTGGGTGACCCTGGACAAATCCCTTCAAGCCCTCGAGGTCTCTGGCCCTCTGTAAAATCAGCAGCCTGGATTGAAGAGTTCTAAGGGCTGTTCTAAGCTCTAAGACCTATGAAGTCACCAGTACCCCATCCCTCATCAGAGGGAGGGCAGTAAGTCATGGGCAGGACCCAGGAATTCTGATCTGCCATTCCCCAATCTCCCTAGGGCCTGCTCATCTTCCAGCCTCCTCTACGATCCCTCCTAACTGGCAGCCTTCCCAAGAGATGGCACTGACTACTAGCCCCAGACCTTCCCCATCAACCCCAGGCCATGAGAAGGAGAAAGTTGGGCCATGCCAAGTCTGCCAGCCAAATGTGTTTCACCTGTAAATTGAAGAGATTGGAGTAGATTACCTCTAAGACCCCTTCCAATTCTAACACTCTAAGACCTCAGTTTCCTAACCTGTAAAATGAAGAGGTTGGCTTAGATGACTTCCAAAGTTCCATCCAGCGCTAACACTCTCTTAATCTTATCGAATGAGATTGGTCACTGGCAAAGGAAGGATCACAGACCGTTCAAGACGTCAGAGATCATCTGAGTAAGATTATCCCTCATTTGACTGAGGACCCAGAGAGGGGAGGCAATTTGCCTAGGGTCACACAGCTAATAAGTGACAGAACGAGGGACTTAAAACCAGCTGTTCTGACTTGCAGGTCAGCACTCTTCCCAAGGCACCGGGCCTGCTCCTTAAAGTCCTGATGGAAGGGTTCTTTTCATCACTAAGTTGCCTAGAAGGGCTGGCTTCATGCAGACAACCTGATTTATACCTGGTGGACTGCCCAGAAGCCCCACTCCCATGAAATTTCCTTTATTTCCAGCCAGGCACCTGATATCCAACCCCTTGACATGAAAGGCTTTGGAGTCTTCCAGATGTCCTAGTTAGGACACACTCATCCCTAACTCTAAACATGCTCCTGGGTCTCTCTGGAGTGTCCTTTCTCTAATGGGATCAAAGCACCCCCAAGGCCCTGAGGCCATCTCCTCCATTTGTATGCTGGAGCCCAGAAGCAGGAAGCTGAAACCAGGACAGCAATGCAAACTTAGAAAACTTCATGCCTTTCCTGGGGCCTGACTGCTGAGCTGATGCTACAGGCTGGAGGACAGATGAAGTCTTCCTACCTCCCAGTCCCCACTCACTGTACAGACAGCCCTGAGGGAGGGCCCAGACATATCAGAGCTGGGCTTTATGGAAGTCACTAGTCAGCACCATGAAGTGACTGGAGTTAGGAAGGCCTAGGCTTCAGACACTGTGATGTTGGGCAAGAGGCCTGGGCAAGCCTTGATTCCCTTCCAGCTAGGTGGCTGGGCCTAGTCAAAAAGACCTGAGTTCAAATCCAGATGCAGAAACTTACTAGCTATGAGACCCTGGTCAAGTCACTTCACTTCAGTTAGCCTCAGTTTCCTCATTTGTAAAATAGGAGTCCTACCGGCACCTACCTGAGGATCAAATGAGATAACACTTGTAAAGTACTTAGCACAGCACCTACAGTACTCGGCATATAATGGCACATAACCTGTTCCCCTCCCCCACCTTGGTATACTGTAGGTGTTATATAAATGCTGATGTCCTCCCTTCCTCTGAAAAAAATGAGGGTGTTAGACTGGTTGGCCTTTGAGCCCCCTTCCAGTTCCAGACATAGGATCTTATGGCCTCTGAGCAATAACCCACATGGCCCTTCAAGCGGCTGGCTATATTGGCCCTACCCTTACAAACCAAAGGAAGGCATCAGAGGGGTCACAGGTAACTCGAATCCTATGAAAAGAGGTAGGAGTCTTCCCTATACCCAGATCAAATCAGAAAGGGAGAGTCTGGAGAAGAGAAACCAGAAGAACTCTGGAGAGGGCAGAGGAGGGAAAAAAACAGGGAGGAGGGGGAGGGAAGGAGAGGAAGAAAGAGGAGGAGAGAGGAGAATCCAGGAGGGGAGGGAGAGGAGAGAGGAGAGGAAGGGGGGGGGGGAGAGGGGACCAGAGAGGAAGGGAGATGAGGAGAGGGGAGGGGAGAAACCAGGGACCGTGAGAGGAGAGGGGAAGGGAGAAGAAAGGAAGGGGGAGGAGGATACAGAAGAAAAGGAGAGGGGAGCAGAGAAACCAGGCACCAGGGTTTGAGGGAGGAGAGAAGCAAAAGGAACATCAGTAACTGTCTGTTCCTCCAATAATCAGCTTTAAGATGTCACTCCTAAGCTTCTTGAAGGAACTAGATCAAGGCCACCTTAGCTTTAGCCTTACAAAAGGGCAAAGGTCTCTACACATTGATATTATGAAAGAGCCCTAGACTGAAGGCCAGAAGGCCTAGGGTCTGCTCCTGGCTCTGCTCCCAATTGGCCTGTGAGCTTCTTGGAGGCAGGGACCACGTTCTTGCCTTTCTCTACATCCCCAGAGTGTAGCACAGTGCCTAGCCCATAGTAAATACTTAATAAATGCTTGTTAGCTGCCTTTTGACTAGCTGAGTTAGTTATGTGACTTTGGACAAGTCCCTTTCCTCTCTCTGGGCCTCAGTTTCTTCATCTGTAAAATGAGGGGATCATCTAAAGCTTCTTCCAGCTGATATTTCGTGCCCTCTGTCTCTGAAATTCTGGGTTTTCAGGTCCCTCCCGCTGAATTCTGTGTTCTATGATCCCTGTGCTCTCAGGCGGTAAGTGTATATACCAGATTTGAGATATCAAAGAGGGCTGAGCAAGGGATCAAACCCAGGAGCCTTCCCAGGGATAGTGTGGGATTTCATGGAATCAAGAAGGGGAGGGGGGGCACGGAGGGGTGGCACTCAGGAACTGGAGCCTTATTCTATTCGCCCTGGAATCTAAGAGACCCTCGCTTGACGTCTGTGGTCTCCAAGCCCAGGTGGAGGTGGGAGCTGCGGCACTGGTGAAAGCAGTAGCAGGTGGGGGGTCCTCAGGGGCTGCTCGTGCAGCCCCTGGGGAGCCGTCCATCCAACAGGCTGCTCTGGGCCGTTAGCGGCAGCTGGTGCCACCTAGCGGCCCGATGCTTCGCCTGCACCTGCCTTCGCTCTGGGAGCAAGTTCAACTGGCTGAGGGGTGGCGGGGATTTTTTTTTTTTTTTTTTTTTTTGCTAAGTTTAATTGGAAACATATTAGGGCTGAAAATACCCAACAATTAAAATGGCAAAATATTTAAAATAGTTGCCTCCATAAAGGCGCCATATTTAACTGACTCTCCCTGCCTGCCTTTTCGGCCCCTTGCCTCTATCCTCCACAAGGGTCAGAGAAGGGCTAGCCTTCGAGGGAGGCCAGGGAGTCTCGTCTGCCCCAGTTAGATCCTCCAAAGGAACTGAGTTTCATGTCAGGTCTTTCCTAGTTCACTGGTGACCCAGTCGTTGGGTTCAGGAACAGCACAGCCTCCTTGTGCCCAAAGGCGTCCAAGGTCGGAGCAAAGATCATGGGCTATCGTAGGAGGGCATCGGAGTGGGCAGGGGCTCCGGATTGTCTAGAACGCAGAATAGGAGGAACATCAAGCCTGGAAGGAACCTTAGAACACGCAAAGACACGAACCACAGATGAAAACTAAATATCAGAGCCAGAACGGACCTTGTGAGCCACTGATTCCAACTGAGGCTCAGTGATTAACTCACACGGTTAGTAAGGAGGATTTGAATCCAGACCTTGCTTCTCCGTCTCAATGCAAGTGAACGTATCAGGTTGGGATTGAAAGGAGGGTTTCATTAGAAGTCGGGGGTGGGGGGGCGGTTTGCACTGGATGGGCGGGGGGTTTGCACAGCACGGGCAGGGGGATTGCAAGGCAACTGGGAGAGAGGTGCCAGGGACTCCTTCCCACACACACACACACACCCAGAAAAAAAAATAAAAAGCAACCACTGCCACGTGACAGGCATTAAGTCCCAATTCCTGGGGATCCCCCGCAGTCTCTGGGAATCTCCTGCCCCGACGGCTTCTTCCCTAGTTGGCTGCGGTGCCTCGCCACTAGGTTCAGGTGGCTGGCAGCTGGCCAATCGGGAGCCCCAAACCGTGCCCGCCGACTCCCCACCCCCACCCCCGCCCCCAGCCCCAGTTGCTCCAGTTGTCAGAAGCACTTGGCGCCCACCCACGCTGGGGCCCCGCAGGAGAGAAGCCCGAGGGGGCCAGCGGGGCCAGGCTGAGCCGGCCGGGAGGACAGGTGCTGGCGCTCACCTTACCTAGAACGCAGAGCCAGGCGAGCAGGAGCAGCGCGGCCGGGACGGCCCCGCAACACAGCCGCAGCATCTTCGGGCGCGACGTGCAAGCTTCACTCACTCCGTCCGCCCGCTGCGCGACGTGGGGTGGACTGGGCTGGAGGGAAGGGAGGGGACAGACGGCAGGGGAGGAGGGGTGGGGAGGGCCGGGGGCTGGCCCGGAGGGCAGTGGGCTGGGCTAGACTGGCCTGCGTCTCTGGGGTCCGCGGCTGTGAGGGCAGCGGCCCGGCGGGCCCCTGGACCAGCTGCGGCCACGAGTTGGCGACCCCTTCGTTCCCGAGGTCACTGGCGCCTCGCCGGGACCCTCCTCCCTGGGTCGTCGTGGCCGTCCTTCCCCGCCCGGCGGGCGCTCCGATTGGCCGCGGCGGCTCCGAGTGTGCCGCAGGCTCCCGGCGCCGGGCGAGCTCCGGCTCGGGCTCGGGCTAAGCGGAGCCCGGAGAGGCTAGGGGAGCCCGTGCCCCCTCGCCGGCGGGCGCAGGGCGCGGGGCGCGAGGCCCCGGGCGCAGGTGCTGGGGCTGCCGAGCGCTGGGACTGCTGGAGGGTCCGAGAGCAGGCGGCCAGCGAGGACAGGGACAGAGAAGGCTGCAGAGAGGCGGCCGGGGAGGCAGGGAGGCAGCGGCGAGAAGGCCCGGAACGCTGCCGGTCTGGAGGCTGCTCCGAGCAGAGTGGCGGCGGCGGGTGCGGGGGGGGGGGGGCGGGGGGGGTGAGAGAGAGAGACCGCGCGGCCCGGGTGGGGGTGGCTCTGGCACTTCCCTTTCCTGCCCCCTCCCCTCCCCTCCCCTCCCTGTCCCTCCTCCTCCCCTCCTCGCATGCTGATTTCCCCTCCGCTGGGCTCCAGAGCAGAATCCCCCCCCCCCCCCCCCTGGCAGCAGGGGTGTGATGGGCGGGGGGGGGGGGGGTGGTCTTTGGAGAATCGGAGGAAGTGCAGTCGTCAGCGGCAGCCGTGCGGTCCGGGGGGAAAAGACAGCTCCAGCTCGGGCGAGCCCTCGGCAGCCCCGACGGAGCGTGCGGGGAAAGCCTTCGAGATGTTAAGACACTGCTAGTCTCCGATTTTGTCCTACAATGTGATCTCTGGCCAGGCTTGTGTTCGGCCCCTAAAGAGCCCCAAAAGGGACCACAGAGCCAGAGACACAAGAGAAAGTGTGTGTGTGTGTGTGTGTGTGTGTGTGTGTGTGTGTGTGTGTGTTTTGGAGGGTGCTGTTGGGGAACAAGGGGAAGACAGATCCAGCCTCTAGTTGGAGATCACAAGGTTTTTCTTCTGGAAAGGGTCCTCAGAGGCCATGTAGATAGATAACTCTTCCCCCCACTCCCATTTTACCTGGGGCGGGGGGAACCTGAGGCCCAGAGAGAGAAGTGACTTGCCAAGGTCACATAGTGAGACTCTCCTAGTCACTGAGTCCCAATCACCAAGTCCTACCCTATGTTGTTGTTCAGTCATGCCCTTCTCTTCGAGATCCCGTGGACCAATCTTCCACTATCCCTAGAAGTGTGTCCAAGTTCATTTGCATTGTTTCCATGACACTCTCTATCCATACTCACACTCTGTCCCCTTTTCCTTTTGCCTTCAATCCTTCCTAACATTAGGTTCTTTTTCCAACCCTTTACTTTGGACATATTTTAGAAGAATAAGCTTTGGATCCAGAGGAAGAGAAGTGACTTGCCCAAGGTCTCACAGCTAGTAAGTGGCATAGAGGGTGTGATGTTCAAACTCAAGGTGAGCCACCTGGTAATTCAAGGATCTCCATTACACCAGGACCTCTAGCCCTGTTTGAATGCCTTTGGTATCAAAGAGTGTCAGAGCTGGAAAGGCCCTTAGAGGGCGATCTAGACCTACTGACTCGTTTTACCAAGGGGGGAACTGAGGCCCAGTAAAGTGCCCAAGGTCACAAGGGCAGTAAATGGCACACTCAGAATTTGAACCTAGGACCTCTGACTCCAAATCCAGCTATGCTTTTTGCTCCCTACACCTTCCTCCTCCAGCCTGGGGCAGCTAGGGGCCCTAACAAAGCACGCTGGCTTATCTCATCCCTCCCATGGGTGCAAAGGAGAGGGCTCCCCCTCTTGGCTCCTCAGAAAGAAGGACAGCAAAACTGCTGCCCATGCTGCCCTATCTTGTCCTGGTCCTTGCCTGTCCCCAGGCTTCTCACTCCCCAGCTGACCAATGCTCCTAAACAGCCAAATCTTTCCCCCTAAACTTGGTGGCTTCTTTAGCTGTCCTGGGTCACCGGCTCAGAGATTGGGGAGCTGGCCACCCCAACCACTCTTTCACTAAGGATTCAAGCCAGAAACCAGAAGCTGCTGGTGAAAGAAGGGCCCAGCCCAAGCAAAGGAGAGCACAGGAGCCAAAATAAAAGGGATGAAAGGCGGGCTTGGCCAAGACCGGGTGAGCGAGGCTCTCTGTACATGGTAGGGTTTTTTAAAAACAAGGCAAAAACCCAAACCCAACAAGCATGGAATCAGAGAGAGAGGGAACCTCAGAGTTAGTCAGTGTCAGCTCCTTGGAGGGGGCTCAGGGGATTAGCTCTGGCTTGATAGTCCTGTTGTGGTGGAAGGTGGGGAGGGGGCTGGGCAAATCCCTCCCTCTCCCTAGGCCTCAATTTTCCTATCTGTAAAATGAGAGGGTTGGATTTGATGGACTCTGTGGTCCCTTCCAGCTGTGAAATTCTCTGTTCCAAGGTTTCCTCCAGCTCTGGCACTCTCTCTTCTAATTTCCCTTCCAGCTTTGGCTGACTTAAGGGTCAGTCCAGTTCTGTCATTCTGTGTTCTAAGGCCCCTCCCAGCTCTGACCTTCTCAGTTCTAGGGTCCCTCCCAGCTCTGACATTCCCTGTTCTAAGCCCCCTCCCAGCTCTGATTTTCTGTGTTCTCATGGCCCTATCCAGCTCAGACATTCCATGTTCTAAGGCCTCTCCCAGCTTTGACATTCTGTGTTCTAAGGCCCTTCCCAGCTCTTACATTTCTGTTCTAAGGCCCCTGCCAGTCCTGACATTCCCTGTTCTAAGGCTCCTTCTAGCCCTAACATTCAAGAGCACTGGATTTTGAGCAAGAAGACCCAAGCTGGAGCCTGATCCTCAGTACCTATGTGTCCTAAGACCATTTTCTTCTCCTGTAAAATAAAGACGTTATTATTGTTGTCATTTCCAACTCCTTGTGATCTTGTAGACCGTAGCACACCAATGCTGTCCAGGGGGTTTTCTTGGCAAAAATACTAGAGTGCTTTGCCATTTCCTGCTCCAATAAGTATCTGGGGCTGGACTTGAACTCTGGTCTTCTTGACTCCAGGCCCAGTGCTCTATCCACTGAGCCACCTAGTGGCCTCCTAGGGAGTTAGACTAGGTGAATTCTAAGGTCCACTCCAACTCCCTGTGTTCCAAGTTGAAAAACCTAGGTTCCATGGTCCTCACTCTCATCTAGTTTGCAGCAGGCTTATACAACAAACAGCCCCCCTTTATGAGCTCAAGGGATGCATCCTGGCTTCCTCTCTGGGGGGTCTGGCAAAGAAGCCAAAAGGGACAGTGGACACTCAAGAGTCTTCTTTCTGCACCATACTTTGTTGTTTGGTCATGTCTGACTCTTTGTAACCCCATCGGGAATTTTCTTGGCAAAGATACTGGAGTGGTTTGCCATTTCCTTCTCCCAGTTAATTTTACAGATGAGGAAACTGAGGCAAATAGGGTTAAGTGACTTGCCCAGGGTCACACAGCTAGTAAGTGTTTGAGGTTAGATTTGAACCCAGGTCCTCCTGATTCCAGGCCCAGTGCTTTATCCACTGCAGTGCCACCCTTAACTAGCCATGTGTCATTTTACATCTATCTCTGAGCCTCAGATTTTCTCTCCTATAAAATGGGCCTGATTACTGCAAGGATCAGCCTACCTGGAAACAGAGATAAGTATTAAGTAAAAGTTCTAAAGCTTCATTGTCTGCATTTTGAGTGATCTGATCTATCTCAGGAAAGCAATTTCAAAATTCTTCAACAGTGAGTCACTCGAATTAGTCTTCCCATCACAGTGGGCCCAGGAAAAAGAAGTGAGAAATGCACCTCCTTCCCTTCTTTGCAGAGGTGGGGGGCTATGGGTGTGCAATATGGCATATCCCATCAGACAAAGTGGACGTGCTTTACCAACCTGCTTCTTTTTCCTTCTTTTTATTCTTCCTTCCAATGGAAGAACTGGAAAAGGGAGGGAGGAGGGATAGATTCAGCAATGAAGGGGATGGGAAAACACAAGTTAACAATACACATCACTTTAAAGGCTAGGTATCCTAAGGGAGCTCCTGCACCAGGACAGGCTGATCCTAGGAAGGGGACCTGCTTCCCTCCAGGATTGGGTGTCCTTTTTCAATGGAAAAGACTAGAGAAAAAGGGCCCTGTTATTCAAATAAGAGACAACCCAGACGGCAGAGAAACAGTCAGGCAGTTAACACTGCACAGAGCCCTGAATGAGGGGCCACAAGAGACATACCAGAAACAGGCATCGTGGAGCCAAATCATCTCAATTTTAGACTGAATTTTTTCTGTTTTCATCCAGTTGTTGAGGGAGAAGGGCAGAGGTAGGTACACACCCTGAGCCCTTATCCCCCAGGCTTAAGGCCCTGTAAAAAACAAAGTAGGATGAAGGAGGAAGCAATTGACTGGGTTTTTCCTTAGGCCTCTGGGCCTTGCCTAGTTGTCCTGTTCATGCAGCATTCCTTTTTTGCCTGAAGTGATTGAGCTACCATAATGCTAATAATAAGAGTTATGGAGGCCTAGATCTGGAGCAGGAAGGGCCCTCAGAGGCTATTGAGTTGACCCCCCTCATTTTACAGAGGGGGAAACTGAGGCCCAGGCAGGGAAAGGGACTTGTCCAAGGTAACACAGTGTCAGAGGCAGGACATCTGCCTCCTGATGACCTCTTTGTATGTCTCTTTGTGAACCCTAAAGCCCAATGGACGTGTCATCTAGAGGATTATCATACTTTTGCTAAAAGCAAAGAAACCAGACTCTTTACTCAGCTGATGACTTAGGGAAAGGTGAAAACATGAGGTCTTCCAAGGCACTTTAGTTGATTTAATCCAGGGCTGCTTA